CCGGTGCCGAGCAAGGCCTCCAACTGAAGACCCGGACCACTAGACGGCCTTGGCCCTCCTCTTCATCGGACTCTTAAGTACAAATTAAACCTTTTCTCAACAGTAGCAGTTCCCCGTGTGACTTCTGCGGAGCGAGTGGAACTCGGCCTGATCGGGCGGTATTGACAAGCGACCCACAACCTTTTCAAAGAAATCAGCGAGACGAACCCTTTCGAGCGCCCACAAAGAAGGGTGTCGATAGCCAAGAACGTTGGCGACGCCGTCGAACCCAAAAAGGTGTTTGCCGTGCGGTCAGTACGCGAGTGGTGCGACCTTTTGCTTGCATACTTCCAAGCAAATGACGAGACCAACATAAGATAGTCGGGATCCCACAACACACCAGAGCGAACCGTAGATCGAACTGTATAAAAGACAAAACACGTTCACAACAGGCAACTGGAAAGAGATTCACGCATTTCGCAGTAAAGCGAGGAAACTCGCGGTGTTCAAAAAAAGAAAAAAGAAAAAAAAAGGGGGGGGATCGGTGGCCGAGTGGTCTAGCGCACACCAGCTCGGAGCACGTGGAGCGAAAGCTCGCGCTGCAGAACCCAGGGATCCTGGGTTCGAGCAACACCCCTGCCCGTTTCGATCTGGATGAGCATCGTACCGGCGTGCGGTCGTGTATCACTACTGCGTGATGCACGTTAAAGACCCCAGGCTAGCGGCTGTACCTGGCTAAATTTCTCATCTACAGCTGGGAGACTCGTCGCCCCTGTGAGGCAGACCAAGTTCTAGGCTGTATAAACACACACACAACCCAATTTTTTTTTTTCGCAGTGTTGGATTGGCTTGATTGAATACCCGCCTTGGATTGTCTGAAGCAGTTCGCAGGAGCACATCTAGATGGCGCTGCAAGTCTTTACGTATGCGTTTTCCTTCCGCTATACTAAAAGCGCGCGTTCAACGCGCTCCGTAATGTTACGTCGACAGCTTGCGTGCGTTGTAGGCAGTGCTGACGCCCCCCCAAGGGTGTTTACGCTATTCTAGAAGTCTCTATTACTGGTTTTATCGCCCGAGAACCTTTCCGGCATAATTAGCGAGAACGTTCTGTTCTTATTGTTTCCATATTCAGCAGACTCATGTTTAGGTTTCTACGTTCCGTCATGGTATCACGTGACGTCACAGAATCACGTGGCGTCATGACATTACGCGACTCATGGTGTCACTCGACGTCATTAAATCCCGTTGCGTCACTGTGCAACCTGACTTACTATATAGCATTGTCACATCATGGTGCCAGCCGACGCTAGGTAACGGGTGACGTGGTGCACAGTGTGACGTCAGCGGCGTGACGTTAATGTGGAATCTTTTGGGGGAGTGCCGAAAATGGCCCGCGTCGATATGGATCGCGGTCGTCGGCGCGAAACCCGCGAAGTGTCCCACTAACTGCTATCGCAGAAATATACCTGGCAAGCTCGCAATGCGCCGAGCAAGTGAGGGAAAAGAGGATACAAGAGCGCGCGGGGACGTCAGAACGCCGAGCTCCGATTGGGAGGATCAGTGGGTAGACCTAAAGCTAGAGCTGCTTTTGTCTCCGCTATAGACTTGTGGAACGCGTTCGAATGCGAGAGCCAAACGCCAGACGCCGGCGTTCCCCGTTCTAAAGCGTTCGACGAGTGCAGTCGAGACAAAGGCAGCTATAGCTTTACATCTACCCACTAAGCATTCCAACCAGAGCTCGGTGTTGCGACGTCCCCTCTCGTCTCCTCCTTTGCTTCACTTTGTTGGCGCATTGCACGCGCTGCCCACACGAGTGACACGCGCTTGGTGGCCTGAAGATATCAGAATGGCGTAACGACTGGTCGGAGGTCTTTCGTGTTTGCCCGGGTTTAGATACATGTTCGGGGAAAGCAATCGTGATATTCAGATTCACGGAATAACAATTTTCTAAAATTCACCTTTAACTGTTTTTTTTTCTTGTTTCAAGAACTTTCTTAGCTTCTTTTTAGGGTGAAACAATCTATACTCCATTTCATGCTTAATACACGAGGCTATCAAAGCTAGTAGTGAGAGCGCGTGGCTTCATTTATGGGTTCGTTCGCGCGAAAACGAGTGCAAATGGTCAACGAGATCAAGCCCTATGCTCGCGCCAGCAGCTTTGACAGCGTTGTACAGACCGTTTTCATGGCAAACGCCACCAATAATTGAGGTTGTGTGGATATTTATACAGCGTGTAGTTGGTCAGCCATTTCAAAGTTGCACCGAGTCACTCTATGTAGATGAGGAATTTAGCCAGTGCAGCACAACCACTAGCCTGAGGTCTTTAACGTGCACCACACAGTAGTGATACACGACCGCGCGCCGGTACGATACTCATCCAGATTTGAAACGGGCAGGAGTGGGGGTTGAACACAGGGTTCATCGGTTCTCACACGCCACAAGTTTACGGTGCTCCAGTCTTTTACGTCCCAAAGAACTTCGGTTCATGAAAAGAATCAACGAAGTCCACCCTAACACCGCTGCTTGAGATGTCGACGAAACGTTGAACCACCCCTTCTCCGGGTGAATGCCAAAAGTGCAAAGAAGCGCGAGATCTCCTAACATTTTCCGAATATTCTTGTAAACCAACGTGACTTCTCCAAGACGTTAAATTGTACAGTCGAAAGCCCTCGCTAAATCTCCAACTTGGTTGTCCGTGTACCATCTATGCTTTCTAGCACTGGTCACGTAACCAACCAAAGACGGTGCGACCGGAAGTCGCTTGGGACGTGAGCGACAGTTCATGTTTGTAAACGGCAAAAAGGGTCTGCAATACGTATGCAACGGATTCCACCGAGAAACGGAAGGAGAGGAAGGGAACAAAGCCCTGGGGACGTCAAAACGCCGGGCTCGGACCGGAATGAGTGGTGCGTACCGGGCTGGAGAATAAAAATCATATTGTTTTAAATTGCGATTTAAATCGTGATTTAAATTAGTCATTTAAATCACATTGGATCTACCATGATGAGTTAAGTCAAACCTTATTCTCGCAAATAATTCACGAAATGCTTTTTATTTACTGTTTGACTATCATGTTATGCTTTCTATGTGCACTTCTTTTGTATTCAAATCAAATGTCATCAGACAACAAATATTTATAGCAGCTTAAACACCTCTTCTGAGTAAATCGGAGCGCTGAGACTTTTCTTATATGTTCTACTTTGTTTTGTCAGTTATCTAATGTTCTTCTCCAAAGAGATCGGAACGCGAAAGAAGTACCCCCGCCCCCTCCCCTTTTTGAAATAAAGATAAAATTATAATTTATTTTTATTTCAATTTTATTTTAAGCGATCTCGCTACTGTTGTCTACCCTTCAACGCGGCAGCCTTGGGTGTGGTTAGGCAGTGCATTGCGATGTCGTGTCAAGTTGGGTTTTAGGGCCCCGCTAAGCGGACCAGTGAGATATGTGACTGTGCATTAATGATCTGTCAAGAGTGTCCTGCGTGAATTGGCATTAGAAAATTCCAAGAAACGTCAGACCCCCTCCTGCTCTCGGGGGTACAGAGCAGAGCGTACATAGAAAGTAAGATTGCAAAAACACTCGATCTTGCGTATTTGAGATTAGGCACACCGAATCAGCGTTCAATGAGTTCAAACAAAATTAGGAACGCTGTCCTCACGGTTTCACCAAACGTCCCAGCTCATCTAAGTGAGCGCGTGTGTTTTGGGAGAAAGCGAAGAACACTAAAGAGCAACGAAGCTCCCATGCCTGCAGAAGAACCTAGTATGGAATTTGGATGCGCGGTCGCTATTAGGACTGGGCGTTCGATCGATTAACCTACCTCTTAATCAATTAGTGCTTTAATTGCTATTAAACTTTTAACCGGTATATCGGCAAAATGTTGACGAACCAAAAGAAAGTAAAAATGCAACGCTTTCACCACACAGACGTGGACGAGACGAAGGGCAAACTTCAGGGGCTATATTCTGAACACTGGGCAAAAACGTTGGCGAGAAATTCGGCGGCTCTGATTGGCCGGCGCCAAGGTCAAGTGCTGCGTTGGCCAATCACGGCCGCCAGATTTCTCGACGACTTTTGCGCCACGTGTCCAGATTAGGGCCCTGGTGAAGTTTTAGCCTAACGAAAACTGCTTGCGCGAGATTTGTAACTCCAGACAATTGCAGAAGGTTACACGCGGCTCGGCCACTTCAATGCGGTTCGAGTGCCCGTCTAGCGCAGCAGAGGCTATTGTGAACAATCAAGGAAGCTCGCTCTTTCCGGAGAACATCAACGAACCTCTGTGCGTCATGCAGCAAAAGCAATGATCTTTGAGGGTGAGTGTCTTTGAACTGTTCTCAACGACACATAGAGGTTTATTCGAAATCAAAAGGTTTGCGCCTTTAATATCTTGAGAAAAAAATCGTTTTTTGCATTAATTATATCTATTGCATGGACGTGCACGAGACCAATTATTCGATAAAAGGGTGGTGATTAATCGGGTTAAGAGTATTAATCCACGCCCAGATAGAGTCGCAAGCGTTCCCGTGTTGAGCGAGGTCACACTGCGCAACAAGTACGCTTCACGAGCTTCACGACGCCGAAGAAGTGTGTTTCACTCCGTGTAATTGAAACGCTTTCGCAGCGCAAGTGAAGTGAAGATAGAAAAGGCTGTTTTTTTTTACTCAGGGCTGGGCAATTGATCGATTAACCTTCCGATTAATCGATTAATGCTTTAATCGCGATCAATTTTTTTAACCAGTTAATCGGTTAAAACGGGGCGAACAAAAGTAAATAAATATACGTTTTTTTTCCTTTCTCCTGGTGCCGTTCCCTCTAAAACGAACATACAAACTTGCTCCTTGTTCACCTCGTAGGTAACACCCAACAAACAAATCATTCGTCGTGAGTCACGCGGGATTGGAAGAAAAAAGCGAAAACAGAAGCAGAATGAAAGCAGGCTTTACGGAAGTCCGGTGACCTCGGTCATGAATTTGGACGTTATAGCTACGCGCTCTTTTTGAGCACACGCAGCAGCTTTTTTTTTTTTTTTTTTTTTTTGAAGGCACGCAAGCATGTTGGCTTACGGGTTTGCAGCGACAAAGCTAGAGCTCTTCCGAAGGCTGCCTTGATCCCCATTGTGGGTTATGCTCCGTCCTTGAGGCTTGCGGTCGCTACAACGTGACCTCGCTCGTCTCTCCGCTCGTTCAGCGTGGTGCAAAGCCGGCCGTGGTCGTGGCTTGCTTCAGTATTCGACCCTGTGTTTTATTTGTGTGGTTGGAATTTCTCTCTCGGCGTCGCTTTTGCCTCTTGACGCAACGACCTTGGCGGACCTGCACTGCCCGTGGCAAAGTGCTTCCAGATGTTCCCCCGTTCTCTCGTCGTCTTTGACGAGTTGGCGCCGCGCGCAGCCGGATGGGCTCGTTTCCCTTTTCCCCGTAAAAAGGGGCCTTTCCTTCGCCGGGGATTTTCTGTTTGTTGAAAGCTTCAAGGACGTCGTGGAATTAGAGCGTGCGGGTAAAGTTACATGAACGACGAAGATGTTTCATCCTGTTTTTGTCCTTCATGTACTACTCCTATAACACCTTCAGGGACGTCCTCGACGGATTGACGCTCCCCAATTATCCCCGTCTCCCTTGCCCCCGTCTTTCCTCTTCCCTTCATGTCGCGCCGCAGTCACTTGTTTGAGAAGTATCTCATCACAACACCCTGCGCAGGCATGGACGAATACAGGAGTATGAAGGGCAACCTTTCAGGGAAATTCGGGTTTAAGGTAAACTCCGCGGGCGAAGTTTTTGACTTAAAGAAAGTTCACTGCCTCATCTGCAAAAAAGCTTTCGCATATAGCGGAAGTGTAAGCTCGCTTCAATACCATCTCAGAGCTAAGCACCCAAGCATCTCGCTGCAACAAGAATCATCTGCAAAAAAGCAGACGACTATCGACGTTTTCTCTTCGAGGCCGGTTTCTCTGAAAAAAGAAGAAACTATTGCACAAGCCCTTACATCTTGGCTTGTTTCTTCTAGCCGGCCTCTCAACATTGTGGAAGATCACGGACTAGCGAAAGTTCTTCAGATTGCCTTGGATTCTCCGTCTTACCAGCCGCCGTCCCGTCGTGCAGTGAGTGCCAAGGTGGATGCCCTGTATACCTCGAGACGGGAGCGTCTTCAAGACGAACTCTCGGCAGCCAGCTTCATCAGCTTAACAGCGGACTTCTGGACCTCCATCGCCAATGACGCCTACCTCGGGATAACGGCGCATTGGATCGACGACGACTGGGTGCTTCGATCGGCAACATTGCAGGTGAGAAACGTACCTGAGCGCCATACAGCGGAACAATGTGCCAGTGAGGTATTGGAGACTGCTACAGATTGGGGAATCGTTGAAAAGGTAAAAGCTGTCTGTACCGATAACGCCCGCAACATCTGTCTTGGGGTGGAGAGAGCAAACTTTCAGAGTCTGAAGTGCGCAGCTCACACGCTTCAGCTGTGCGTCCACAAGGCGCTCAGCGTGACGGGTGTGGAGCGACTGCTAGCCGCCTGTCGTCGTACTGTGGGTCACTTTAAGCACAGTTCGAACAACCAGGCCGTCCTTTCAAAACATGCCGCTGAACTCGGAGCACCTAAGAAGAAGCTTCAGCAGGACATCGCAACACGGTGGAACAGCACGTACATAATGATAACCAGCCTGCTTGAACTGAAGGAGCCTTTGCGCCGCTCCATGGAGGACAGCAGTACCATTAAATCGTCGATTCCCCACCTCACAGACGTCGATTGGGACATGTTGGAGCAGCTTCGGGAAGTTTTGAAGCCCCTGCTCGACATTACTGAGCTCCTTGGAGGGGACAAGTACGTTACTCGGTCTGTACTTATTCCAGCCTTAAAACTGCTAAAGAATAAAATGAAGACGAATGACTGTGACCCTGCCTTCATCTGCCGCTTCAAGGCCATGCTGGTGGACTCTATCGATGAGAGGCTTCGCGCGTGGCCGCAATACAACGACTATGAACTGGCAACGTGTCTCGATCCTCGTTTCAAGAGCCTCGCATGCATCGAAAAAGATCGCCGCGAACTTGTGTGGGAAAGGCTTTCCCAGCTAACACATGCGTCTTCGGACGATTCTACTGATCTAACGCCCAAGAAAAAAAGAAAATACGTTTTCTCGGAGGAAAATGAAGAACCCACCATCTCCTGCCAAGTGTCGCTTTATCGATCGATGGCCGAGGTGACGGACGATGAACTGGACCCACTACAGTGGTGGCGAGCTCAGGGCTCCCTGTTTCCTCAAATTGTGCCAATTGTGAAAAGTGTGATGTGTGTCCCAGTCACCTCAACGCCCTGCGAGCGTCTGTTCAGCGCAGCAGGGATGATCGTCAACAAACAAAGAAACTCGCTCCTGCCGGAAAATGTCAACAAACTTCTTTGCCTCCGCAGCTGGGGTTGTGATCTGTGAGTGCGTTACATCAACGTTTATTCTCAATTAAGTTTGTATATATGCGCCGTTTATCATACAATAAAACAAATTGTAAGGACAAAATGTCTACTTTTGCTTTTTACTAAAGTCAACCGATTAATCGATTAATTAATCGATTAAAGGGTAGCGATTAATCGGGTTAAAATTTTTAATCGACGCCCAGCCCTCAAAAGAATTCCAGCTTTTTCTACTCGCAAGACGTTCGTGATAGCTAAGCCGGTGGCAGACATGCCAGTGCAGAAAAAAAAAGAAGAAAAGAACAAGATACATTAAGCGTGTACCCACCGGGCAAATAAGCTTGCTTTGACAAGTGGCGTCATCTTGTGGGGAACTCTTGCGACCCTGGAACCGATCTCGAGTTCGAATGTACGAGCCAGGCACGTAACCAGGACTTTAATCCGGGGGGGGGGGGGGGGGGGGAAGGGGGGGAGGCCTGCCCGTAACAAAATGATGTGTGAGGGGGACGGCGGAGAGGAGGCCCCAGAAAAATGGAAGATTTCAAGAAGCCCCCCCCCCCCCCCCCCCCCTTTTTGGCTACGCGCCTGGTTCAAACTCCTTTCCGAACTGTGATGCCGAAATCATGTCCAATCGCTGAGTGATTAGGCTTACCCAAAGTTGCCCCTTTTGGCCACGCGGACTAGCTGTCGACCGAGGCGCGTCCTATTCGCTGCTCTGGGGAAATAGCAGCAGGGCGCGGCAGCACCGAATGAGGTCCTGCGATTGACTACCGCACAATGAACTTGAAAGGAGAACTGGCAAGAAAGGAAAACAAAGAAGGAAACACCTAGCATCGCTTGCATACAAATGCGACGTCGGAAACCGCAGCTTCACCCCCAGGCTTTTTTTTTTTTTTTTCGCAGCACGAGCGACCGGGCAGTTGGGATATCGCAAGTAAAACTGCACCATGTGAATCAGGAAGGTCCTCTTTACATCGAAAGCCGTCTTTACCCCCTCACTTCCTTCGAGCGTCCCAAAACGCATGTGTTATCTATTTCCTTCAAAAGAACGAGATCGAAAATCGCCACTCGCCCATGCATCGCAAAAAAAAAAGAAAAAAGAATAATAATAAAAAAAAATAAAAATAAGCTATCTGCTTAAAAAATAAAGAAAAGAGCAGATGCTTGCGGTTTTTGATTACGTGTTAATAGGCAAACGGGCTACGCATGACAGGAATGTTGAGTTTCTTAAACACTCGGAGCGCGTATTTTGAGTTTTCGCCTCAAATCTACAAACACTAAAGGATCTTTCGTCTCCCTTTAATATCTAATTCACCCCAAAAAGCATTTTGAAATCCAGTACTTAAATTTTTCAAAGCTCCTCACCACCCTCTAATGCGTTCGATAGCACCCACAGTGTTCCAAGATGTATATACAATGCTGCGCGGGACAGTTTGGTGCACCGCCAAGTTTGCGCCTGAAGCATGACAGGCACATTTTAACCAGATTCAAATCTTAATGCGAGTACCCAGGATGTACTCAAATATCAACGAAATAAGAAATTTGCAGTATTAATGCGGTTTCTAACTGACGCTATTGCTCATTCATGAACCTTGTAGTTAGTCGCTTAGATATAAAATACCCTCGTCTCTGCTTTTTCACCTACCTTGATTTTTACTGCTCGTTCTTTCCACCACTTCATTGAGCGATACACCGACAAGCCCCTTCTAAATATAAAGCGTCGGCATATTGTTAATATCTATTTTGTTTACATTTCCCTCGCAGGGGATAAGCCGAATAAGATTCAAATCGATTGCACCGCATTAGCAGCTTTAAAATCTAACAAATAAAAACACAATATCGCAAACGTCTGGTAAACAGCTCCCAAATTCATTCTCTGATTCTAATGAAACTTCCCCTGCACTGCTTCACTGAATTCCTGGCAGCATTTCCAGGTTTGCAGATAATGCTATCGTACTGCAAGTGCATACATCTACGGCACTGTAAACACGGCTGGTGTGTACACTGCAATGTAACGACCGCCGCAAAACTCTTTTTCGGTGAGCGATGTTTTACCTGGGAATATATTCCAAGCCCCTGTAAAAACTCGATCGCACTATAAAGGCAAAACACAAATCAGGTAACAGCACCGTACAATCCATTAGTAGGAGCAGTTTTTAGCAAATATTGGGGCTGGACTATGCACTCTAAGAAAAAAATGGAGGAAAAAAGTAGCAACGGCGCATCTTCCTCCCTTCTACTGACGAGCCCCCAAGCGGACACGAGAAAAGGAGAAGAACGAAACGTTTTCCTCGTTCTCCAGGCAGAAGGGAGAAAGCTTTCGCCCTCCCGACTCATCTTCTTTCGGTTTCGATTTTTGAGCAGGTCGCGCACGTTGTTTAATAAATAGCTGTTGAGTTGATTGAGCTTCAGCGGCAGCGAAGGCCGCCTGTAATTCCGTCTTCTAGTTTAAACGTCCATAACATTTCGGTTGCATCGACGTTCTTATTACTAGTTTTATCAAACGAGCAAACGAAGCCGCTAGAAACAGCAAAGTTCCGGAGCGGTGCCTGCAGCGCCACGTACACTGGGGGATGGCCGTCTCCGGATTGCGGGACTCGCGCGGCACGAAACTACAGTAGCGAAACCACGCGGAACTGTGTCGACGTTTTCGACGTTATGGAAACCGCAGGAACCGCGTCCAAGACAGGCAGGTTTTGCTGCCGGCTGCCTGGGTGCCTTCCGTGCTGAGGTCGGTTCTGTTTTCCGATGCCGAGTGCAACCGGCGTTCAACGTGGTTCTGTATTTGTGCGTGTTAACAACATAGCTGCAACATCGTGATGGCAGTGTTGTGGGTTGTAAACAGAACATTGGAATTATCGCCGATCTGACCATGTGTTCGCGTATGAGTGGTGTAACAAGAATATGAGATCGTAAACTGTCGGGCATTGATGCCGCTGGTCGGGCCGTGATTGGAAGGGGCGGGATGTCGCAGGTCGACATTCCGCTTTACATTAAAACGTTTAACACCACTTGAGAGATTACGTGCAATCGATCAACGTGCGGATAGTCATGTTGGAACGCTGGTCTGAACCGTATAAGCTCTTATCGCACAGTGGCCAATATGACTGTCGGAATTGTCTCGTCCCCGAGAGCGACTGCGCTCTGAAGCAAGGACACCAGTACGAAATCGCGACGGAAAGTACGTATATTTACAGTGTGGAATTTTAGCATTTAAAAACAATAGTAGGTAAAATCGAAAAAAAAAGCTGCCCTTTATTTTGCTGTTTAAATATACTACGGTTCCTGGAGAAACTGCCCTCCAAGTGGCGCGCTATGATGAGCGCTAGAAGTTTTCGGGCTCGCCACGGCGTAGCTCCGTACACTTAACACCTGCCGCAAGTAGCGGCTTTGACTGCATTCAAGTTGATCGAAAAGCGATTTCTCAGCCCGTGAAGCATCACTTACAGCTGAGTGAATATCCGCTCTACGGAAGTTAATTCAAGACAGAAATTGCAGCTTTGCGCGAACAGCACAAATAGATAAACAAACACTACAATAGAAATACAGGCTACGACGTGCCGTGTGGGGAAACAAACTCATGGCTTCCATTTGCTTGACGCTGCTACTCACACATTGCACAAAATGAAGCAAAAATCGTGAAAGCTTATTGGGGATGAATACTCGAAAGGAGATACAAAACATCCGAACGTGTGTGGTACCATTTTCAGTATCAACGTCTAACATACGTCTTTTTCTTTTTTTTTTTTTGTACATAGGAAACAACGGGGTTTTTCAGGCTTCAAATGTACTTATCCTCTGAAACCTACATTTAAACAATATTAGTACGATAAATGTATCAGCTAACGACACCTTTGTCAAAAGGAATCCTGGCTTCAATCCTCACCCCTGCCAGTTCCGATCAGGATGAGCATCGTACCGGCGTCAGGTCATGCATCACTACTGAGTGATGCAGGTTAAAGACCCCAGGCTGGCTCAATTTCGCATCCACAGCGTAAACCAGTGTCCCCGCTGAATAAAAGGCAGGCCGACCTTACGCTGTAAAGACAAAAAAGTCAAATCTGGGTCTATTTGGTTCAATGATCGCTGCTGATTAGGTAATTTATATGATTTTTTGTCTCTCGCCCAAATAACGGCGAAGAACGCCGTGCTGGAGAGTCAGCGCTATCAATTCTTATAGATTACGTGTCTCGTCATAAGTGAATTCTATGTCATCGTTTGATTCATGAACTCCGAAAAATCTCCGAGCATTTTTTTATATATGATTGCTTAGTTGTCCTATTTCATAACCCCAATTCTTTCTAAGTTAAATAATGCTGTGCTTGAATGTACTCATGTACTTTGTTTTTGTTAACCTCTGATATTGTCGCACCTTTTTTTTTGTAATATTGTCCTGGGGTCATCTCTGAAACTGTTAGTTTTTATTTTTTTTTTTTTGGATCACTTGTGCCACTGCTGCCATATGTATGGAGGAGGGAAGGTGGGGGGGCAGGGCCCGTCAAGTTGCATGATGCAGTTCTTTTTCTCGGCCTCCCTGTGTCATACGCGTTCTTGACAAAAATAAACTTTGTTATTATTAATATCATTATTATTATTATAACTTGAGATAATTTCGCTAATTTCGTTTCTACGTACCACCTGCCAAAATCGCTACACGAGATTGGCATTGTTTATAAATAAATACATTTGAGAAAATGCTTCCGCTTAGGCTGATTCCCCAGGTGACTATAGTTAGGGCATCAGCCCAGGAGGAAACAGTCTCTTAAATTTATTTATTTGAACATATAGTTCTAGTTGCGAAGCATGTTTTTCACACTTAACTACCACTTTAGAGCTGTGTCGTGCTCTGTACATTCCTTTCCGGTAGCTCTACGTAATCCGTCGTGTGGCCTTAAAATATCTGCTTTTGTCTATTAAAAAAAATGATAAAGATGGCGGCGGTGGCGTATCTAAACCCTCCCTATGTATACTAACGAGCATGATCCCTTAAAAGGAATCAAATACGGGCAGATTGTAAGACATAGCGCCGTATGACATCTTTTAAAACAAATTTCATATCATTAATATTAATAGCACGCGGTAGAAGCTCCGACTGCAGCACGTGTTCGTTGTCTTGTGCAGGGCTCGCATG